GATTTATATATTAATATAGAATTAATGTTTTTATTGGTATAAATTTCTTATATTAATACAAAATTTTAAGTTATTATTGTTACTCTTGGATAGGCATTGTGCCTATGCAACTCATTTAAGAATGCAAGGCTTAGACTTAGTCCGTCTAATAATTGCTCTTACAAGCTGTTTAGGATGATTAAGTAATTCAAGTTAAAGGCCAGGTCACAAACTCATGGTTATATTAGATTCTGATCTAATTATATTAAGATGCTTTCTACAATATTCAAATAGAAATGAGTAAGAGTAGTCAAGGTTTAACAATTCAGATATACTTTATAGAGAGAGATAGTCTTCAGAAGCATCAGAAATCTACAAAATATGACATTTAATATTAAGTCATTTAAAGATCATTTTACTAGAGACATGTCTGCTCCTGACAGTACTCCTCTTTTGGTTCAAGGAAGAAATTGAGTATCAAAACCTCAATATAGAGCTGCTCCAGTTATGGCAAGGTAGCTACTGGACAAGAATTACCCTCTTCATCTACAGACAAAATACTGTCCAAGAAAGAACACACAGTGCAGCATAGTTAACAGTTCATTTCTGCCAAGACAGAGTAAGCAAGTCCTTCATAGTTCCTGCTTCATTTCAAGGTCTGTCAGATGACTCTGGGGCAGAGGGCTGAAGACAGATGCTTGACGTTTTGAGGAATAGGGAACTATCCAAATAGTCAGCTGTCTCTCAAATTGGACCATGTTTTATGTTTCATATATATTCAGATAATAATTTGTTTTTGGGTTTGTGATGGAGTTGAAGACTAGTTATAGTCTCATAACCAAACTCAAGTTGTTTAACATTGAGGGAGATGATATAGAAAGGATGGTTTTCAGATGGTAATACAAGTTAAAGTCAAAACATAACTCAAGTATGGAATTACAAACTCTTTAAGTTGGGATAAATAGTAGAGTATCTAATTGATAAATATGATGGACTGGATGTTAATTATATATCATTCTTTGTAATTTGCATAATTGTTATGGTTATGCTCAATTTGTATATAAGAGAAGAGTTTATTTATTTATTTATTTATTTGTAATTTGGACAGAAAGGGTGAGGTGTTAGGAATTTGTTCTAATGCTTTGTCTTAATTCCGCTCCCAAAGCTGTACCTCCAGACCTGAGGGACCCTCCCCCTAGCTGGCTTCAATTGGTAATAAAGAATTGCTGTATAGCCGTTGTCTGGCCAAAAAGACAGAGGCAGGACTTTTAGATTGTGTAAGGTACAGAGAAGAAGGGGAGGAAGGGAAGAATCTCCATGACTCAGAGGGAGAGAGATCAGATTTAAGAGCTGCAAAAGAAAATTATCCAGCAATGTAGGTAGAAAGGGAAAGTGGCCCTACTGGGGGGAGGGGAGCCTGCCCAGAAGGTAACAGGGCAGCAAAGATAAAACAGATCCAGAAGGTGTTAAGTCAGGAATACCAGAAAGAAATATGTGCTAGCCTTAGGGAGGTTTAGAAATGCCCAACCATTGAGCTAGTCAAGGCATATCAAAATTAGCCGGCGTATGTGTATTTTTCATTCTCAAATCCAGAAAGCTCTTGGGTGGTGGGTGCAGCCTGGGCATGACCAGCCAGGAGCTGAAGCGAAATAAATTTGCTGTTACACTCTTGAAAGCTTGAAATTGGACATTTGTTATTCTTATGAATTTTGGAAAATATCTTAGGCTTAGCTGTGCTGTTGTTTGGCCCAGCTGTTGGGAAAGGCTCCAATCATGGTTGTGAAGCAGGCTCCTTTCCCAGGTGGGCGAAAGAACACTGGTTCTGCCTGGAAAACTGATCTTACAGCATCTTTAGCAGTAAAGCAGAGTTACTGCCTACTTGGGATGAGTAAGGGTTCTGGTCACACAAGGCCATTCTTGGGTTCTGAGCTAGAAACAAACCGGTTGTTGACCAGAATTCTGTGAGTTGGGTTGCAAATCCATTTTCTCAAAATTTCTCCAAGGAGAAAGTAAGAGAAAATTATTGGTTAGAAATAAGAAAGTACCTTTAAGACAGGGTCTCCTGTAGCCCAGGCTAGCCTTGAACTCACTGTACAGCCCAGGATGACCTTGAACTCTTAAACATGCAGCTTTCAATTCTGCAGATCTGGGATCACACATATGCACCATCATGTGTTCAAGGGGTTCTGGAGCTCAAACCACATCTCTAGCCCTTCTTACACCCCTCACCGTCTTTGGGCTTGTTTATTTGAGACAGTCTCAGCCCAGGCTGGCCTCCAAATGCACTGGAAGTCAAGGATAATCTCAACTACTGCTCAATCCTTCTACCCTTACTTCCCAAGTGCTAGGCTTACAAGTGTGTAGCCTGGCTATTCTTTTTAAAAAATAAAAAGAATAACTCCTTTTCCTAATAAAGCTTCCAGGCACAAAGAAACCCAAAGAGGATGTTATTGATGGGGTGGGAGGACAAGAGGGAGAGCAGTTACCCCCAAGGGACCTGGTCCTGCCTGGGCCTATAGCTTCCTGCTTTCCTGGGGGAGCTACATTCTTCTCTTTGTTTTTGGGCTTTGTGAGAAATGAGTCATCATTTTAGGGAAGAGAGGCCCGTGGTGATTCACACATAAGCTCACTGGTCACCGTGTAGGGAGTGAACTCTTGAGGATGCCTGACCTATGATCTTTCTGTTATCTTTCTGCCAAAGTACTCATTTTTTTATTCTTTTAATTGGAGTGTATTCATTGCACACAGTACTGGGTTTCCTAAGGACACCGTCATCCAAGTATATAAATTACTTTGACCACAGTCTCCTTATTACTCTCTCTCTCTCCTTCAGTCCTCTTTGCCCCTAGAGACACTTTCACTTTCTCTATACGCTTCACAAAATCTAGTACTCATATTTTTCTGAGCCTGACTTAGTTCACTTAGTATGCGGTTATCTCCACTGGGGTCTGTTTTCCTGGAAATGACATAATTCTGTTCATTGTGGCTGAATAAAAGTCCACTGAGCATATTTACCACGTTTACCTGCTCACCTGTTGACAGAAACAGGTTGGCTGCAAAGCTTGAGCTATCTGATCAGGGCTACAGCAAACATGGATGCCTCAGCGTCCCTGGTGACTTGGTGAGTTGACTTGGTGGTAGCTGGGTCATCTAGACTCTCTGTTTCAGTTTTTAAGACATCTCTATGCTGAGTTCCACAGAGGCTGGACTGGGTAGGCTCCGGAACTGTGTTATGGGTCATTTGTCCTTTGTCCAATTCTTCTGCGCATGTGTCCTCATTTGTCATTTTAATGTGTGCCATTCTGACTGAGATGAAATCTCAGCGTAGTTTGAATTTGCACTTCTGAAGACATTTTCATGTTGTTTGGCTGTCTGTACTCATGTTTTGAGAAATGACTGTTTATTTCATTTGCCCACTTATTGAGTGGGCTTTTTAAAAAAAGGTTTAAGTTTGAATGTTTTGCCTGCATTCATATATGTATGCCACAGGAACCTGTGGAGGTCAGAAGAGTGTGACAGTTGCCCTGGAACTGGAATTCTGGTCGAAAACCCCTATGTGGATGCTAAGAACACTCTGCAAGAGCAACAAGTGCTCTTAACCACTGAGCCATCTCCCCAGCACCTTAGTGGTTTTTGTTTAACGTTTGTTGTTGTTGTTGTTTTGTTTTTGTTTTTATTTCTTGACATTTTCTTTGGGCTCTAGGTTTATTATAAATAATAATCCCCTGTCAGATGTTTAGTTAGTAAAGATTTTGTTGAGGTTTGGCCAATTGGTTTGATTATATCAGATTGTAATATTGATCTTTATCTATACCATTTACTAGAGGGATTAAGAAAGGTGGGTTTGGAGTGACCTGGTTGGAGGAGAAGAGACAGGGGAAGGAGGAATAACGGGAAGAGAAAGGAAGTTGCCATCAGAGAAGATGGACCATGAGCATGAGGCCAGGAGAAACAGCAAGTATCTGGGGTAAATTGCTCAGAGGTAGCCAGGCCAGCAGTTAGAAGAGTAGATTAGGGGTGAGGTCTCAGTAATTGTCAAAGGTAAATAAAATAACCATAGTCTGTGTCTCGTTTATTTGTAAGCTAGTCAGGGATAAGCTTACATTGCTTATACTACAAGATTTCCTCCCGTTCTGCAGTGTTCATTTCTTAGCCTTTCCCCGACTGAGAAAACAGAAGCGAATGGGTGGGTGTTCTCTCATTGAGCTCTCGTGTTGAGTGAGGGAATGGCTGGATGACAGAGGTAAAAACAGCGTCCTGCAATCAGGACAGGACAACTCTGCCTCACTGTTGGAGTGGAACTTGGATCAACCTCCTGTCCAAGAGGCTTGATCCCTCTCTGAACAACGGTCTGTCTAGAAAGCCAGAGTCTAAGCAAGTTATGGGCGACCTGGGTGGATCCATCAGAGCCTATGAGTTCTTTTCTGAGCTGTACTGTTAGCATTGGAGACTTTGACTGGTTTTGATGGGGCCTTGTTTTTGCGTGTGATAGGAGCAGCAGCTCGGGAACCCACTTCACTAAGCAGGTCCACACCGTCTGCCCTCTGGACCTAACAAGAAGACTATGCGACCCAGCCCTTGAAATCCAGTGGCTCACGCCAAGGCCCCGCGTTTTCCCCCCTGTTGCTTTACCGTAGGCAGAGTGTAGCTGAGGAATCCTCCTCGCAACCAGTGGGCTGGAGCCAGTCTGTGTGTTCTGGAAGTATCTCTGTCGGATGAAGGGAGATCGGGAGCTCCAAGCAGTCTGGATTACATATGTGCCTGTTTCAGGAGTCCCTAGGGCGGTTGTTGACAGAAAAGGGCCGAGCCCAAGGACGAGTCTTTCTTGCACCATGCAAGGGTCCCTCTGTCCTCCACCTCTTGCAAGCTTTTTCAGCTCCAACGAGGGCGTGCCTGTTGGCTTAGGGCGGATCTCAGTCTGGCTCCACCAGCCTCTGCGCACGGTGCTTGGCTGAGGCCCCGCCCGTGCGGGCGCCTAGTCCCGCCTGGTGCTGGCTAAGGGTCTCCGGCTGCTGTGGCCAAGCCGGTGCCCCCGGTCCGCATGCAGGTAGCCACGGGGCTACGCGACGCGCTATGACTGCAGCCGGGGCTGCGGCGCCAGGTGAGTGGCTTGCCGAGACCCCGACACTGTGTCGGGGGATCCCGACGGCGAGCCAGGACCCCCATCTCATGCTGGGGGGAGGGGTCCCCGCATGTCTACACCAGGGTCTCATCTGATGGCTGAGGGTCAAGGCGGTGGGTCCTCGCGGCACCAGCACAAGTGGATCCTCCGGGAAACAGTCCTGGGTGCGGGGTTGAGTCCCAGCCTTGTCCTGCGGTGGGCGAGCTGCGGGCACAGTCCGGAGTCTGCGTGCTCTGCAGCCAGCAGCCGGCAGCTCGAGTTTGCTTCTCTTTGAAAGAAGCACCGGGTTCCAGGGTGCTGCGGGAGGCCTGGCTGCGCTGCGTCCTATTGGCCAATTCCTGGCCTGGGGAGTGCCGAGGAGCGCAAACACCCTCTTATCACAGCCTCTGTAAAGCGCAGTGGAGTAGGAGTGGGGAAAACAAACCTGTTATCTTCTGGGCTGGAGATTGAACCCAGGACTCCAGGCTAGCGCTCCCCAATCTCAGCACCTTTGATTTTGTGAGTCTTTGATGTTGGGAGTTTTGCCTCACCTGTCCTCTGTTGCTCTCAGTGGTAAAACTTGGAGGCGTCTCCTCCGGAGAATGGTGACCATTATTTCAAGGAGGATAACCATAAAAAGCTGTTTTTTATGGCAGGCTGGAGTCAGGAGGGGAAAAGAAAACAATAAATAAAAACAGGTTCGGAAGTCAAGGTCGCAGTTATTTTGATTGACAGGCTTGCTGGCTAACTGAGATTGATTGATTGATGATTTATTTCTTGCTGTGTAGCCCTTGGCTATCCTGGAACTTGCTGTCCTACCAACTTAACCTGGACTTGCATCCCAAGAGCTGACTACAGGCTTATCTCAACTTTCTGGTATAACTTTAATAAATGGTGGGAGATTTCTGCCTGTAACCTTTCAAAGGTTCCTGTGGTCTCCCTGCATGGTGCTCAAAGCCATTTTGTTAAAAAAGAAGGTCTCTTCTTGCTCTGAGCCCTGCTTCATGCTCCTCTGGGTGCCTCAGTTTCCTCTCTGTAAAATGGAAGCAATGACAATGGTGGCCCCTACATTCTGCAACTGTAAGACTAATAAGCAAAACAAAACAGATTAAAAATCAAAAACCTTACAACTTCAGGGCTGTTTGGAAGGTAGCCACAAAAAAATTAGGTGGAGCCAAACAGAACTGCCTGATCACTTAACATTTTATGAGAGCAGCTTACGGGTTAGACACTGATACTGAGCCTGCTGCCCTGGGGCTGAGCATTCTCTTGGAAGAAGGTTCCAGGACCCTTGGAGCTAGAGAGAGGGCCCTACCAGAAAGCTATGTGCTGGCCAGAACTGCCTGCTGGGGCAGCCTCTGAAACAGCTTCTCACCGCTCTCCCCTTCTCAGCTACTCATCTCCTCTGTGATGTTACCAGACCAAGCTCTTTTGAGTTGTTATTTTGTAACAGTAGTGGCTTAAATTCACGCTCCTGACTCAGAAGGTATCCCATTCTGCTTTGCATAAACTGTTGTTCCTGGCCGTGTTCTAGGCAGTTCCTTCTAGGAGTGCATCACACAAGCATCACACAGGGCGGCTTGGGGCCTGACTTGCTCTGGTGCATGGGATCTAGTTCAGCCTAGAACCCTCTTGGAATTATCAGGGACTCAGTGTTAGCCTGCAAGGCCCAAAGGAAGCTGAGCCATCTGCCTGCTCTGTGGGTTTGCTTCCATGCCCTGGTGTTTTCCAGTCTGTCCCCTGTTCCTCCTAGCGTTCAGTATCTAGCTTCTCTGTAAAATGGGGACAATGGGGGTTTCTGCTTTATGGGATACTTAGGATCAGGTGAGACTGAGGTGCATATTTAGGGGCTGGAGACAGATGGCTCAGTGGTTAAGAGCACTGCCTGCTCTGGCAAAGAGCTTGGGTTTGGTTCTCAGCAACCACATGGTGGCTCATAACTGTCTCTAACTCCAGATCCTGGCAGTTTGATGCCTTCTTCTGGCCTCTGTGGGCTCAGAGAGCACACATGTGGTACATATACATACATACAGGCAAGACATTCTGTTGGGTAATTTTTTCAGGGTGTGTATATGTGTGTGTGTGTGTGTATGTGTGTGTGTGTGTGTGTGTGTGTGTGTTTGGTGGCGCAGGAGATCAAGCCCAGGCAGGACCTCGTGCATGCCAAGCTCATTCCTACCACAGGACTCCACCCCAAGGCCTGTGGAATCTTAGCAGACTCCAGTTTCAGGCCACCACCTCTTTTCTTTCCTATTTGTTCATGGTGGAGATCTGTTTAAGGAAACCATTGTTTACTAGCTGTGAGATTTTGGCCAAATTATTTGGTTTCTCTGAGTTCCATTTTCCTTCTTTATAAGATTGTACTAAAACTCTCAGACACTTCAGGTGACAGGGCAGTTAAACAGGCAATGATTACAAACTGTGCGGGGCACTCCAGCTTTCCTCCTGACCTTTTCCGAGGACATCATCTTTACTACAGAAACCCTTCCTAATTCCTATTTTCATATTGCAACGCTTTTGTCTTGGGAGCACTTCTGTCTGTCTGTCACAAGTTGTTTGTATGTGTTGGCTTTGTGGCTCCACCTTCGGCATGCTGGTCCTAGGAGGGCAGAGTTGGTTCTTGTCCACCCCTTCCATCTCTGATTCCTTCTCCTAGTGGGTGCCCAGTAGAAACTGTGGCTCTTAAATGAATGAGGTTTTACTTAAGGTGTGCACAGGGCTGATTCATTCATGAAGCACCCATCAGGTTCACACTGCTGACTCCACAGAAAGACAGAGTTCTGGTCAGAGACTTCAGTAGCAGCATTAGTCTGGGTGAGAGGTGACTTTTATTACTCTGATCCTTACTCTAACTGAATATGTCATAGAAGTGACTCAGAAACAGGTCTATTCTGGCTCACAGTTCAAGGGGGAGACAGCCCACCATGGTGGAGAAGGCACGGCAACAGAAGCGTGAGGCCAGTGGTCACCTGTGTCCACAGGACACAGAGAACAGACAGGAAGCGAGGCTTGGCTTTAAAACCTCAAGACGCAGCCCCAGTGATCCAACGCTCCAGTGAGGCTCCACCTCTGAAGGTTCCACAAGTTTCCAGAACGGCATTACAACCTGGAGACTAAATGCCCAATAATATGAGCCTGTGGGAGACAGTTCACATTCAAACTGCAACAGAAATGGGCTTCAACGTTAAATTGTGTTAACAAAATGAAACAAAAAACAACAGGCCAAACACGGAGCATGAGCCCCTCCCTCCTCTAAACCAGGGAGACATCGACTAGTTTATGAAGGGGGAGCGTCTCAGCATCTGTGGGTGGGTATCTCTCAGAGAAACAACTGCACATCTTTCATGGTACAGAATAGGAACAAAGATGGAAAATGGCGGGTAACTAGAGTGGTTTTTTTACATTGTTGCTTCATTGTATTGTTTGCATTCACTGATTTGAGTAGAATCTGGGAACGGAAGTCCAGCTTTCCTGAAGTTGCCTTGCTGTGTGGTGTTGGACTTCCACTGCACGGTCTGGGGGTAAGGGTGGTGGTAGCGTATGAACACTTAACCTAGAAAGTGCATTTGAAGGGCACAGATGTTTCCAAAATGAAAGAGATGTGGGTCTTTTATTTTTTGGTTCCTGTTGGTAACAGTGTTTTCTTCACTGCGGGAGAGAGTAAGTTGTACCTGTCTACTGAGGGAGAGGGCTGGGAAGCAGAGGAATGCCTCTCATCACAGGCCGGCAGGGTGGCCCTGCCTCCCTTCACACCCACCTTTCCTTCATCCTCTCGTTTTCTGGAAAAGCAGCTGTTTATATCTTCCAAGCTACTTCACATCCGTCTTTCAAAAAGCATTCTTAGAACTATTTAGTTTGTCCCCATTGACAGCGTTTTGGGAAGCAGGTCTGCCTCTCTCTGTCTGTCCACATCACAGGCCATATTAGCTCACAGTTGCCATTGCTTCTGCCTCCAGGTGTGGTTCTGTGGTCTGTGCATTAGCCAGGAAAAAAACAACGAGCAAAAAAATGCATGGAGTTCCAAGAGCCTTCCCGTGGAGCTCTGTAGGGCAGAGCCGAGACCCTCAGCCTTGACTTCTAATGCACCAATAGAGTGAATACTTACCCAGGAGAGGCCCCAGGCAATCAGTATGTGGGACAGAAACACTTGGAAACCCTCGTCTGCAATATCAGATGTTCCCGAATCAACTCAGTTGTGGGCCAGAGGCTCTGTGGCTTACGGGTTACTTCAGAGTGGTGGGTACAGTGAAATAATGGCATCTGTGATTCTTAGCCTTCACAAGGCAGGGGGTGAAGACCTCCGAAGAGGGGAGACCCTCACTCAAGTCTCAGAAAGTCGCGACCACGACACGGTGTACCGGAGCAATAGCGAGGTTTATTAGGGCATGTGACAGCTAGCTGCCGGTCAATTCGTATGCCCACGCAGGAGCTGAATTGACCCCGACAGCCAGTTTGAGAGGGGTTTTTAAGGGGAAAAACCACAAACCAAGGAATGGGGAGGGGGATGAGGGGTTGTTAAGGTGGCATAACATAAAAATAGCAGAACATTCCAAAGGAACCCAACCTACGTGAGACAGGGTCATGTGAAAACTTTCTGTACGCTTATCTTTCTCAAGAATGTGGTCCTGCCCTGTTACTTCGTCCTTACCCTGTCACTGCGGTTCTCAGCTTGGTTCTCAGCTTGGTTCTCAGCTTGGTTTCACCTGGCTAACTTACATTCTAGCCAGTTCCCGTAACTAGCCTGTCCACATTCTTAACTTGCTTCATGGCTCTGTTTCTCAGAAAATTTTCCATGTCCTTATAAAGAAAGCCTAAAGAATATTTTATATGTCTAAAAAGGATTCTATATACCCAGTATCTATAATTTTTCACTCTACAGGGGATTACTACAAATCTGAGTCTAAACTAGGTTACATGGTGGTTTCAGAGGTGACTCTGGGCTACCAGGGAGATCCTTTCTCTAACAGGAAACAAACCAAAAAGCTCCAAATGGGTGTGTG